TTTTTTTTTTGGCCAAAAGCACTTTTGGCCAAAAATTGAGGTGTTTGGCCAAGCTTTTGGAAGGAAAAAAAGTGCTTTTGAGGAGAAGCAGAAGCAGTTTTGGAGAAGCAGAAAAAAGTAGCTTCTCTCCAAAAGCACTTTTTTGAGAAACACTTTTGAGAAAAATACACTTAGAAGCAGTTTTTTAAAGCTTGGCCAAACACTAATTGTTGCTCGCTAATTAGCCAAACACAAACTGCTTCTCACCAAAAGTACTTTTAAAAAAAGCACTTCTCAAAATAAGCTGATTTTTGCAACTTGGCCAAACGGGCTATCAATCCCAAGAACCCTGCCACTGCTATACTTGGGACTTTTGTTTCATCTATCTCTGTACTTTCTTTGTTTGCTTGTAGCATAACTTCAGGAGTTCCAAGTATTCTCAGGGAAAGCTGGTCAGGGAAGGAGGAGGAAGGGGACTCCTAATTTAGTTCTCCCTCCCCCCTCTTCACATTCTTTTTCTGTTGTTGTTGTTGTTTTGGAAGGGGGGGGGGGGGTTACAGGGTGAGCAGAGATCTTGTGGGGGATTAAGTCACAGGGTACTTTCTCCTACAACAACAATTATGCTTCAATCCTAAAGATGTTAGGTCAATGAAACCTCACTGATCATGTTCCTCCTCTAAACTCCTCTGAGGCCAAAATTATACAGCATTAAAAAATGAAATATACTGTATGTCCTCTATATTTTCAACAAACATAAGAATCTCTAATCTTCTCCTGTTAATTAGAGAAAGAAAAGCAAACAATTTCTTTTTAACTATTATCTCACATAAAGTGTTTAGAATCAGAGACAGGAATAATCAACTCAGAGACATATGTATAGTTCAAGGTATTAATTAGACTCATAGAGTCATCGTAGACAAAATCTTAGGGAAAAGCTTCTGATGTATGGACCAAACAGCCTACTCACAACACAACAAGAACTTCGCATATAGGTACAAGATGGCATAACTTGAGTCATATGTAACTTTAAAAGCTAAAAGTTCTAGGTTCTAGTTAAAACTGTTCCAAAAAAATATCCTTGGCTAAACTTTCTCACTGATCCAAATGAGTAAGAGCTACTGGTTTGATTTACTTGAACAAAGACAAAATTCAGGCTTCACTTTAACTCCTGCAAGTTCGCAATTTTTTTTTTTTACTTCCTCTAACTCAACTAAATGATAAACATTTCTAGGCACCTCGCTGAATTTCGTGATTGGATTTTAGACCAGTCCTAATTAGAACAAACCACAAACTCTTGCAAACAGCAGTGCACTTATCAAGTGTGTCTAGAAGTTCAAGTTTACCACATAAAGTTTCATACTTCCAAACTAAAAGTCTTCTATACTCGACACTACTTGCCCATATTCTTCTCAATCAGTGAAACTAACTTGTCTACACTAGGCCACAAAATTCCATTGCCCACATAAATTAGCTATAGGAACTTCATCGTAGCCAAAAAACTAAACAATCAAATAACATTTTAGCCAAACCACAATATCATAAAATGATTAGCAAAACTCCAATACACCAATATAATCAGAAAGGACGATATACAAACCATCAAATTCCTCTTCATCCGCTAACGGAAAATCCAACCAAGTCTCTGGATGATGAGCTATATTCGTAGCAAAGGCTAAAACTTCCTCCGTCACACCTACAGCATCACCTTCGCTTTCCTCCACTTCATCATCCGAATTCTCAAAAAAACCAGCTCCTTCTCCAACATATTCCGCCTCTTCGTCCTCGGATCCAACAATTGATCCAGATTCTTCAATCCGGTTCCCATTCGAATCGAATAAATCCGAATTTCGAGGCGGTAAAGGCGGAAGTGGTGGAGGAGCGAGAAATGAAGCGACGCCCCATAGTTGGCGCGTTAGGGTTTCTGTGAATTCAGATAAATCTTCCTTAACGCCGTGGTTATGATTATCATTATCATCATTGGAATTGTGATCGTTATTATAATTATTGGATCGATCTTCCAAATCGATTTCTTCGTAGATGGAGGAGTCTTCTTCGTCAACGGCGTGAGAAGTAGTGGATGAGTTGGCAGCACGTATTACGACGTCGTTTTGATAATTGTGTTTGAATTCTTCTTCATCTTCGTCGTCGTCGTCGAGACGGAGAGTGTTGGCTATGGAACGAGCCAACCATGACATGGCTACGCTTTTATGCTGTATAATATGATTGGATCGAGGAAGAAGAAAGAATAAAGGAAAAGAGATTGTTTGAATTTTGAAAAAGTTTTTGCAGTAGGTGATGAGGATGCTTGATTTGCTGTTTTTCTTTTTCTTTCTTTTTCTTTTCTCTTTTAAAAACAATTTGGTATTTAGGTGACGTGGATTTGGGGCCCATATCTAGTCAATGCAAGGACCTATAATATGAGCTTATCTGGTAGGTGACTTGTAATGGTACTATGGGTCGTTCGGTTATGACGATTGGGGCATGGACTGATGGACCTCACCCACTGTTCAAAAGTTTGCTCGGGAAAATGACACCGTACAACTGCTCAAAATAATAGGGCAAATACCTTACTACTCCCCAAAATCATAAAAATTGCACTGGGCGCCTTATTTGGTCACCCCATTTAACTTATACTTATTTTTTTTAAAAGTTTTAAGTTGTACCCAGTTTTTAAACAACTTCAGCCCATTTCTCCTCCTCCTTCTCCTCCTTTGTTTTCTTCTTCTTCTTCTATTAACAACTGAAAGGCACTATGATTAATTCTCTAATATTGCCACCATTCCATATGTTTGACCAATTATTGTACCTGTTCCTCCTCCTGATTCATAACTGGCTTATCGCATTAAGTCAGCATTTGTGGCATCGAGTTCTTTTTAGAGGCGAATAACTTGCTTTTGAAGAACTGAAATTGCTCCAACACAGCCATAGACTGGATCTTTTAAGCGCGCCTCGGCTTCATAAGCGAGAGAATTGACAGCATCTTCTCTCTGATGTGGTTGGATTTCATTCAGGAGCTTACTTACGTTACTGGCACCAAATACTTTGTGTACGATTGTGAACTTTATTGGCTCCTCTAGAGGGAAATAAGGAGCAAAAATGCAACTTGGCAAGCATTTTCTTCTCAAGCATTTGCAGGTAGCGCATGGAGGGTTGGAGTAACTGCCGGAAGAAGACATCTTGCTTACAAAAAGAACACTTATGCACGACAAAAAAACTCCAGCTTAAAATTTTTACAAACGAACTAAATAACTTCAGCATCTTCTGCTCAAGCTTTTGAAAAAGCTTATCCAGGACAAAAAAAACTTCAGCATATTTAGTGCTGAAATTTTTACAAATGAACTAAATAACTTCAGCATCTTCTGCTGAAGTTTTTGAAATAGCTTATCCAGGACAAAAAAACTTCAGCTATTTTAGTGCTGAAGTTTTTACAAATGAACTAAATAACTTCAGCATCTTATCCAAGACAAAAAAACTTCAGCACTGCCATTGCTACTTCAGGCTCGTCTACTAGAATGCTGAAGTTTTGCGTGATTGTCTTTGCTACTTCAGCCCCGTATGCTGAAGTTACGCGAAAAAGTGGGTACGCTTGCAATTTTTTTTGCAAAACGGGCATAAGTTAAAACGTGACCCAAAAAATGGGTATAGATACAAATACCCCCCCTAAATCTGACACGGATCATTATAGCCTGTTTGGCCAAGCTTTTTTTGGGCAAAAAGTGCTACTTTTGGCCAAAAATTGAGGTGTTTGGCCAAGCTTTTGGAAGAAAAAAAAAGTATTTTTGAGGAGAAGCAGAAACAGTTTTGGAGAATCAGAAAAAAGTAGCTTCTCTCCAAAAGCACTTTTGAGAAAAATACACTTAGAAGCAATTTTCAAAATCTTGGCCAAACACTAATTACAACTCAAAAGTGTTTTTCAAATTAATTAGCCAAACACAAACTACTTCTCACCAAAAACACTTTTTTAAAAAGTACTTTTGAGAAAAATACTTCTCAAAATAAGCTGATTCTAGAAGCTTGGCCAAACGGGCTGTTAGTTACAGCCTTAAACTATTCGTGGTCTTAATTAACCCCCTCAACTTGGCCTTTTGAGAGCCATTACCCACCTGGACGCTGATGTGGCAAAGAGTGTGGGTGCACTCACCTGCCATGTGGATTTTTTTTGTATATATGTTTTTTTAAAAAATAAAATAGTATATTTTAACCTTTCTAATTATATTACTTTTTTAGATAATTTTTTTGAAATACAATTTATAATAAAAGCTTTATATAAAATAAAATAGTATATTTTAACCTTTCTAATTATATAATTTTTATATAGCTCTAAATTATGGTGCTCTAAAAATATATATTTTTTCACAGATTTTACCTGAAAAAAGTAAAAATACACAGTTGAAATAAATATTCAGTGCATCAAAAGAAGAAAAAAAATGATTGTACAATTGCAAGAAACAACTTACTCTATGGATACACTCTTTTCAGGTAAAAATTATAGCCAAAATTAATAATTTCAAACTATGTATTTTTATAACTTTTTAGATGCCTTGACTATTTATTTCAATTATATAAATTTTTATTTTCAGGTCAAATTCAAAAAAAAGATTAACTAAAATTTTATTATTTTTAGCCAAATAAAAAAATTTAGCATACATAATGTAGTTCTATCCGAATTTTATTATAAATTGTATTCGAAAAAAATTATCTAAAAAAGTAACATACTTCAAAAGGTAAAAATATATTTTATATTTCAAGAAAATGCCACATATGCAAAATAATCCACGTGGCAGGCGAGTGCACCCACAAGTAATAGTAATATATATATATATATATATATATATATATTATATATATATATGATATATATATATATAATATATATATATATATATATAATATATATATTATATAATATATATATTACTCAAGTTGCTTTTTCTTTTTCTTTAATCCACTGTTTATCTAAGCTAACGTTTTAATATAGATTCAGTTTGAAACTTGATGGTAGGCTAGAAACCCGTATTTTTGCTGTAGTATTGCACTCTAATTACTGCATTTTACGTGTGTTTGAACTTAAGTGATAGTGAATTACACTTATTATGTGTTTTATGCCTTGCGGGAAACGATTCCGAGCTATTAAGGTAATTTGGAGCTAAATCGAACAAGTTGGAGCTTTGAAATCTGAGTATAAGCCCAAGAAATTAAGCCGGGATCATGTTCGGGGGTCGAGGACGAAGTCCGGATGTCAAAAAGTGGACGAAAAAATTTCCTCTGAGAAAATAGCACTGCCTCGTCGCATGGGACGCCGCATGGCGCGGCGCGGCTGTGCAAATGGTGTTGTTTGTCAGAATGCGAGCTCTCTGAATTTCCCACAAGCGCGTCGCATGGCGCAGCGCGGGGCGCGGCGCACACATACAAAATTGTTAGAGTGACTTCCTATTTCGGCTAGGAAAGGGTAGTTTCATCCGGGCTTGTTCTACACGTATACCAAAAATACGATTTTGAGGGGACTTTTAACCTACGAAAGATTGGAGAACCAACAAGGCAAGAAGACTCAAGAATTCATCAAGATTTCAAACAACAATAGGTGCAATATGGGAGTTTGTATCGAATCATTAGTATTGTTTTTTTCTTTGTTTTTAAATCTTATTGAGATGTCTTACTCCATTGCTATGGAGTAATTTCCATTAGGGTACTGACATATACAATGTTTTGATAACTTGATTAGGTATTCGATTCTTGATAATTATTGAAATTAATTGATGGGGTTCTAATGCGTATTGTGAAGTTATATATTATTTTTTTTAATCGAAAGAGGAGCTTTATATTGAATTTATTTACACCTTATGCTCTAGTTTAAATTCATGATTCAAATAGGTAATCGAAAGAGCCTCTTGAATTGTTAATCGAACTAGAAAATAGGAAAATATTCGTGAGAAGTTACCATTTAGATCATAACCATCATTTTATTGTTGTAATTGTTTACCGTGCTTCAATTGGAATAATTACTGAATTTAACGTTTAATCGAAAAAGGAACATTAACTTCAAGTGTAATCTGATTATCGATTGAATTTGTGAGAATCAACCGTATTATAGAGTGAATTAACTCAATAATTGGATTTCGAGCCAATTATCTTGCACCTATCTAGTCAATTACCCTTATTTCTCTCATTGATATTTTTTCGTTGCTCATCTGCTGTCTTTTGTGATCAGTTGTTAATTGCTTAATATTTAGTAGTTAATCGTAGTAATAGTCATCGAATCAAGTGTGAATTCTCCTGGATAGTAATCAACTGAAGATTATTCGAACACTGTTTAAATTCAATCCCTGTAGAGACGATAATTTAACTATAATATCATTGGCTAGCGAGCATTAATTTTGTGTTGTATTTTGCGCTCATCAAACTTAAAAAAAGTTTTTGAAATTATATTAAAAAATATTTTTTGGAAGATGAAATCGTGTTTTAATATACATTTTACTTGAAACAAAAGTTAAAGTTTTGTGAGTTGTAAAAAATTCTTCATCCAATATTCAAAAACTGATCAATTATATGAACAAACATTGTTTTGAAATTCTTTTTATAAAAAATTAAGAAAAAGTTATGTCCAACCGGGAGCTAAATTTCTTTTTGGGGTAAAGTCCAATTATAAGACAAATTCAACAAACGTTTGAAAAAAATGGGAATATTACTATAGACAACAAATTTGTGTCAAGAAAAATAATCGAGACCGAAAATATTTCAATAATTGCAGTATTTGATTTCAAATAATATGAGTGTATAATTTCTATGAATCCTCTGATTCTTCTTTCAATAGTAAATAAATTCAAGGGCCTTTGAGCTTGATCTTGAATATATATTTTTTGCCATGAACAATGATCTTGAATTCAACTAGCACGAACTTTGATTTGAACTCGTACTCTTTGAATCTTGATTTGTTCTTTGTTCTTGAGCTTGAACTTGATTTCTTGAACTTGAACTTGATCGCTTGAAGCTTGAAACTTGTGGAGGAATTTGCAACGTTTGATCCACGAGCTCTTTCTTGCTTCTTGTTATAACTTCTGGTACGCTTATTTATAGTTGTGGGAGGAAGTTATGATAAAAACAAACTCTTTCCGACCAATCAAATTGAAGTGTGACAAGGCCGCATTTGATTGGCCAGAACATGTCACCTGCACATGTGGCACAGTTTCACTGGCCTTTTAATTTGACTTGGCATGCCTTATCATTTTGACACGTAGCATGATCCCACTGGCTCTTCTGTATGACTTGGTGTGCCACGTCATTTGACACATGGCATCAAACTGGGCCTCTAGGAAATGACATCTTGGGCTTAATAAAGTGGGCTCATCATTTTAGCCTAGTTAAATGGGCTAGCCCAATAGATTATGACTTATTTATTTAAGGGATTTTTACATTCCTATGCCATATAGTAAACTATATTACCCTCCATGCTTAACTTTTAATATAATTACCCTTTATATACCTAATTACCATTTATGTATATTTTAGGGGTTTTAATGGTATTAATTAGTCTCCTAATTTAACTCTACCGTATATTCCCACTCCCCCCAAGTTTCTCTCTCCAAATACCACCCCCTCACTCACGTATCAAACCACACCCCACCATTTCCTCTTCAATCACCCACTATTTCCTCTTCTAAAACCAGCGAGAATCTGTAACCCCTCCATTAACGCCTATTCTCAAGTTCTTTCTTCTAAAATCAGTCAAAATTTCTACTGTTCTTCAAAGTTTATTCACCCATTAACGATCAACTTCAAAGATTTTCAATGAAGAAGAACAGAGCTTCAAAGAACAGCCCTAAAAAAATTAAAGAAGCAGATGTTCCTTCTTTCGATTTGGGTGTTTTATCACCACATTCACCGAAGAAGCATAAAAAATCTGCTCATGCAAATGAAGAGAAGAAGCATAGGCTTTCCCCTGGTCAAGGTAGGGCAGAAGCTAGAACTAAAAAAAAAATATGATTTTGATGCTGGAAGGCAAATCAATTCAGCGAAAACGAAAGGCAAAGAGATAGATTTTGATGATGATTTTGTAGAAGATGAACCTGTCATTAAACCTGCAAAGACAGTTAAAGTGTTCAACAACATCCATTGGTGAAGGTAAGAATTCAGTAATTTCAACAATAGTTTTTTTATTTGTTTTAATTCTTAAAAGGCT